GAACGGGCCATTAATTATTCTGAACAGGGTCTGGGGATTGGACGTAAAATGGGTCAATCAAGAAGGAGTATTTTTTATTTTTTTTAAGTAGTCATCTGATCACAGATACAGACGTTTTCTTATAACACTAACTAGAAGCAGAATGATGTTGCAGCAGCTGTTTTTGATCTACTGTTCTCCAGCTCCGAACTAATGACTCACAACTGAGATCAGATATTGAAATCAAAATGCATTGCTTGTTACAATTCCAGTTTTTTAAAATGTTTTAATAATCGCTCCGATTCAAGCTTTAGAAAGGTGCTTTTTATTTCTTTTGTTTCCTGACAAACCTGCCTTTCTTAAATGGCATCTTCTCCAATCTTTCCCCTTTCGAAGGGTGAAATTGAGTGCCCTTCTCAGCAGTTCAGCAACTAAATTTAAGAATATTTTGTGCAAATAAATTCACAAAAATGGAAAAACAAAGTCTGAAAATAGTTTCTAGATGATATAATAATCACATTGTCTCCTTGGTGTTTTTCTTTCTTCTTTCAATTTTCTTTTTCAACCTATCACCCATAAAGCCTAATCTTTTGCAGATTTGCATACGATACTGCTTAAAATCCCAATAAATCCACTGAAGTTTGGAATGGAGTGGTTTGAAAAAATATGTGGTGTTTTTTGATGTTTGCGTCATTCACTACAATTGCAGATGTGTGTATGTATATGCATAAGATTTTTATGAAGCAGCACAATGAGTAAGTTAACTCATCATTAGAACTTACTAAGTGTGTTGAAGCAATAGTTGGCCCTCTGAAACTTTGCACAATTTTATCTTAATAGTGATCCCACACAACTCACCTGATAAATCAGACACTCTGTCCATCTGTGCGGTCAGACATGCTCTTCTATTTAAATCTCTCCAGGCAGATGACACTCTCCATATCTCACACCTGGTTTATGTCACACAACTGACTGTTCTTTAGTGATGCGGAGCAGTTTTGGGGGTGGGGTGGGGTGGGGGGTTTGCAGTTTGAATCATAAGCTGAAGGTCACACGTGGAAACACGTAACCTGAGGTGATCCGTGTTCATCTGCATACAGGTGGCTTTTTGACACGCATGGCATGCCAAGAGGTCACGTTTATGATTCGGCACTATTCCAGACAATGTGTTGAGCACTGACCCATGCTGTTCTACTGAAATAGTAAATGTTAATGGACCCACCACCTGTTTCAGCTGTGCTGCTATTTATACCATTCACACTCATAGAAGTGAAGCTGTCATGGAGAAGCTTTTTCAGTATATATATATAGTTCTGGGAAACTCCCAGTTTCGTTATATGTAACAGTTATTTCCTCTTCTCTGAAATTCCTTGTTGTGTAATGCTTTGACAAAGTGGCAAAAACATAACAAACGGTTTTTTGCACTAAAATATATCTTTGTTAGAAGTGTTTATATCAGTTTAACATCACAAGCAGCTATTTCTGTTTCCTCTTCGCTGTACTCTGACAGATTTGCATATTTTAGGTGATTCTCATTGCCATTTCAGCTCCACGTGTTAATGAATCAGTGCTTTTCTCACCCAGTTTCCTGCAGAACATTCCTCTGCCTGATTCAACAGTTTCTCTCTCTAATCAGTCACATTCACTTTAAGGAGGACTCTTGCTTCCACTGTCATATGATAGTCTAGTTAGCAGAAACCAGACCAATGGATTAGTGGGATATTGGGTTCAGACATGGTTTGGATGGCAAAACTCTATACTTTTACAAACTGAAAGCTCTGCAAACTATAGACTTTTCAATTGCATATTTGAAGGATAAACAGGTTCCAGCAGTACAAGTTCCCTCTGAATTTATGGTAGATATTTTTACTGCGGTAAAGCGTAAATTTCAAAGACCATAGTGAACAAACCTATGGGTAGGTTTTATTCATTTATGCATTATTTAAATATGTATATCAGCGGGAAAGAACTCATTAAAGTCAAAAATTTGTTTTGCAAAAACACCTTGGCAAAACCGGCAAGACCACAAAAAATTGTTTCAGGTTGTAAGACATGTTTGTGTGGCATTTAGTAAACAAGACACTGCATGAACAAATGTATGGTGGACTCTAGACAGATAAAAGAATAGACAAATGCAGAGCTGAATGATGCACAAAGATATATTATATCCCATACTCCTTCAGACCAAAAACAAACCATAGCATAGTGCAAATCAACAGTTTACTGACATTTTATAAATCGTAAAATGCATAAAAGTTGAGGAAGTCCTTTATATTCAATGTGAAAGTTTGACAAATGAAAAAAAATGATGTCAAACGGATAAGTCTAATGTGTTGCTGAAGGCTGTACAGAGAGGAATGTACGAGCACTGTAGGAGGAGATGGTAGACAGAGAGCTTGGAGAGCATCATCCAGAGCGGGAGCACACTATCATGTCTGTGTAGAGGGTGAAAGGGATGATTCAGTTTATGCATCATGCAGGCGAGAGCAGTGAAGTGCAGAGTTGCATGTAGATTTCTCTGCTGTCTGAGGCGTCCTTGTTCTCACACCCTCCAACTTTCTCTACATTCTTCGGTCAGATTCCTGCTGGTTTCCTTTGCTGACTGATACACAAACCAAGAATTAATGATATATCCCTGGTTTTCGATATGACTCTGCTGCATAAATAAGCATTTTCTTCTTTCCTTTGCAGTCTTTCCTGCTTTCCAAACACCCTCCGCCACGCTCAGATTCAGACTGCTCCATTTATAACGAGCAGCCGAGTGCTTATTGACTAAAATTCTGGATCTCCATGACAGAAACCAGGAATAGGCTCCCTCACTATGGTCTGCCATTGATTTCCACAGCTCACATGAAACTGAATCTCCATTTGGTTGCGTCTGAGGAGCTTCTTGTGGCAGGTGTAATGGAGCATTTGAGGTTGTAACTGGGATGTCCGTACTAAGGTTTTCCTTTACGCCTCACTGTGTTCAGCAGACTTACATCAATGAATTACCCTTTAACTCTATTACTGGTATAATAGATAGCTGTTGGCTTTATTGGTGAGAAGATTAAATTGTTTTTTTTTTTCTTTTTACAATGTCAGTGTAGATATTAAAGGGGAAAATGAAAATAAATGAATATAATCTCTGTTGATTTTTACAAATGAACTAGATTTAATATATAAGCTTTCTTCTTGGGCACCAAAGCTGAAATTTGATAAACAGTCTCTCATTTATAAAAAGATCTCTTAGTAAGACCTTCAATACAGAGATTTCAAAGTGGTTTTTTTTTTTTTTTGCTTTAAGCTGACTTACTAGCACTAACGGAACAAGGAAGGCCATCTTTTATTAGTATTCAGTTATTTAAATTACTGACCTTACTCAGTGACACAGAGCAAGGTCACATTTTCAGCTGACTTTTAACTCCTGTTAAATGTAACAGTTTTTTTCAATAACTAATGTTGTGAGATGTTTATAAAAAAGAGGCATTTTCTATGTTTGGCATATATTTCTTCCTGCATAAGTCTGGTTGTGTTTCAAACTTGTACCAACAGACTTTTAGTGATACGTGAGCTACACTTGTCTTGGCTGTGTCGTTGTTTAAGCCAACTGGCAACAGTGTTCTACAATTTATCACAAATTGTATATTTTGTGATATATTTCATTGTGAGTCAAAGTAAGTAATGGTTTGCTGACAAAACTTAAAGTTGCTTTCAAAACATTGCACGGTGCCTTTACATTCTTCGTCTTAATTTCTTTCTTTTTTTTTTTTTTTTTTTTTTTTCATTTTTCCCCAAACACAATTGTTTTAATTTACTACATCCAGAGCTGTTCTTAGCTTAACCCAATTAAAATGTCCCATATAAATATTTTTTTTTCTTTTTTTGTTCAGTCAGAATTTATTTTACTTTGTCTTCTCTTGTGACCCTTATACATTTGGGAAAATTTGTGTTTTCAGTTGCTCATAAGCAGCCACTTGTTTATGTTTTTGGGGGTTTAAGATTCCACTGCATTCCTTTTCCCCTAAGTCTCTAGACGATGTTCCTGCACTGTCATGTAAAGTTTGCAAGGGAATGAGTGCAGGAACATATTCTCTTCTGACTGCAGTCACGCCGTAGGGTAAAGGGAGCAAGCGAGCTTTGGATTCAACATTGCAGAGTGACTGTCCCATGTCAATTACACTTGCTGCAATTACTTTCCTAAACATAAGGCGTTGCTGTGGGGAGAATAATTCAGTGATACAGCAAGGTTACCAGCAGAAGAATAGTGTTTACACAAAGCAGTTCATAGAGAGCAATGAATCTGAACCTTTAGCACAAGTACCACAGGTGATAGCTTGCCTTCAAAAGTACTCAGAGGTAATTTTGGTATTAGATTTGGAAGGTGGATATGAATGGATTAAGTGTGATATGAAACTACTAAACAACTGCAGCTTAAAAGATCAGTTGCTCAAGCACATTAATTGTTGCTTTATCAGAAACCTCTCAGTAGAAAATTGCTTTGAAGAAGGTTATAAGAACTTGCGGACGACAGTAAGCCAACGACAATTGCAGGTGGCTGCTTATGCTGTGTTCAGTTTACCTCTGAAGTTGTAACTTGCACCTGGATATGACATCAAATTCAGTTTAACTGAGTTCTAGTTCCAAATGCAATAACCTGTGGGATTTGCTCATTTATCCAGTCAATAACGAGGACTGGAAAAATGTATTTCAGTGCAATTTATCATGGAAAACTTGTGGTACTGTATTTGTCATAAAACACTCAAGACCCTCTGACATATAAATAAAAGAAGACATAATCTTCTGAGAATTTAATAAGTATTTGAAATGCATTGCTCTAATCAACACAACCACAAAGATGCTAAATATTCAAGCAAGATATTCTTATGAATAAGGATATTTTTGCTTCACAGTAAGCAAAGTGGCTTGATAAATGCCTGATCAGCTGTTAAATAATTAATTTTTGTAGAAAATGATAGTATGTGCAAATTAGCTCATACAACATTCTAACACAATGTCATGTTTTTTTCTTTTCTTCAAAGGTATCTGTTGAGACCCTGCAGTTTGGTGTTTGTATAGAAGAGGTTTTCTTCTGTGCTCTTAAGGTCAACTATTATAAAATCAAACAACAAGGAGTTTCCTCTCTTCCCAACAATTTCACCAGATTTCCATCTGAAGCGCCTGGAGCTGCAAGGGAAGAGAGAGGCCACGAAAGGAGATAAACAGAAACAGGCACGCTTCATGAATTCCCCCAAAACCTAAACGAGACAAATAGTACAAGTTGGCTGGTGGACCTGCGGTGGCATGTGGACGATGAGTATGGCTTGGCTGTGTCTCCCAGCCTACACTGTCCTACTTCTCGGTTTCCTTCATCTGGCTGTCACAGAAAATGATGTCACTCCGCGCCTCAGCTTTCCCTACAGTAAGTCCCTTCTTTAAATAACTATGACATTTACTACATCTATAAGGTTTTTTTTTTTTTCACTTCTTACTGACACTAGTGACATTTAGTTGAATAGATTAGACAGGAAATGGGTAGAGAAAGAGGGGAAAGACACCCAGAACAGGATCCAGATTTGGGAATCGAACCCTCGGTTCACATTTGATACTTGTCTCCTACATAAGGAGTACACAGCCAATAGATTTCCTATCACCAGTTTCTCCCACCTTTCAACTTCTCTAGATTTATTATAAATCTCATTTTCTCATCTTTTGGTAGGTTTGTTGTTGTTCTGCATCATCCCTTCAGTGAAACACAGGTTGCCTCTCCCGACTAATCCGAGTACTTCTGAGGACTTCATTTATATATGTCAAGAAAGGGGGCTGAGTACTACTGAGCACCACACCCTCTCGATTTTTAAAACATTATATTTAGCAGCAGTGTATGATACCTTTTAATGGGATAGCACATGCAAATACTGTTGAAATACAGTGAAAATTGTGGTCGTGACATGACAAAATGTGAAAGAGTTCATGAGGCATGGATGCTTTTGCAAGGAATGCATTTTGAATCATAATAGCGCCTTATGCAACATGCAGATGCCCAAGGCTCCAAATGTGGTTGTATCAGATCCTTTTATGTGAACTGCAACATTTGGCCAAATGTCAATCAATCGTCAAATAAAACTATGAATGGAGAAAAAAAAAAAAAAAAAACTTTACCGACCTGTTGATTTTGGTAGCATTTAAATGCAAGTGAGAGTTGGTTCTGCTGAGTTTCTGTTGGTCAGACATATTTACATACAAACCTGTGGTTGTTGTAACTCACTCCACAAATTCACTCAGGCCTTGAGTGTTACTGCTTTTATCAAAAATATATCTTTTCATGCTTGCAAAACTGACTTGAAACTTTGAAACATGTTGAATATTCCTGTCAGCTTTCACTGAAAATATAT